GCCATTTGCAGTACAAAAACCACATTGGAATACATTAGCAAAAGTCTCCAGTGTGCACAAACAAATACAGACATAAAACAACATTAAAAGACAGAAATAAAACAGTAAACAAATGTCACTGTGAAATGGATCGACTAAAACAGTTTCAAAACAAGTGCAAATCATTAAAGTGCTCTGTTCACACTGATAACAGCCTGTGGATAAAAACTGTTAGCGTAACGAGATGTCCTGCATCTCAGAGAGCGATATCTTCTGCCAGAGGGAAGAAGCTGGAACATGGCTTTCCCAGGGTGGCCAGAAGAGTCATTAACAATCCTAAGAGCTTTGTTTAAAAGTGTGGATTTATAAAGAACCTCCAGAACAGGAAGCTCACAGCCCACGGTCCTCTTTGCAGAGCGGAGCACCTTGTTTAAAGCTCTCTTTTCTTTATCTGTGATGTTTCCAAACCACACAGACACAGAACCAACAAGTAAACTCTCAATGGTGCAGCCATAAAAGTTCAGCATAATCTTAGAGTTAGTGGTAAATTCTCTAAGTTTACGCAGAAAGTAGAGACGCTGACGAGCTTTCTTAACGACTCGGTCAGTGTTTTTAACCCATTTCAGGTTAGACAGAGTTAAACCCAGAAACTTGCTCCTCTACGATCTGCACCTGGGAGTTGTCGATTACGACAGGCAAATGAGAACTATTGCGACTGAAGTCGTGACCAGTTCACATGTTTTGGATGCGTTCAACTGGAGGTTGTTAGTTTGACTCCACTGAACCACATTTTGTATCTCTGCTCTATAAGAGGATTCATCAGTGTCACTGATGAGACCGATGATGGTGGTGTCATCAGCATATTTGATGATCAAGTTTGAGTCAGAGGAGGACACACAATCGTGAGTGTACAAAGTAAAAAGCAAAGGACTCAAAATACATCCCTGAGGAGAACCCGTGCTCACAGAAACAACATCAGAAAGACAGTCATTGATTGATCTGTCAGTTAAAAAGCTAAAAATCCATTTACACTTGGCAACACTTAAACCTAGAGACATGAGCTTTTCAATCAGTTTACCTGGGACAAGACAATTAAAAGCAGAGCTATAATCGATGAAAAGCATTCTGGCCACAGATTTACTAGTGTCCAAGTGACTGTAGACAGAGTTCAGAGCAAAGGAGATGCATCCTCCACACTCCTGTTCTGTCTGTAGCAAACTGGAGCGGGTCAACACTCACAGGGATCTGGCTCTTAATGAAGTCCAGCACAAGCCGCTCAAAAGTCTTCATAAGAACAGACGTGAGACGTTAATGCAAAACTGTTGAAATATAGTCATTTCGGAGCCTATGCGCCAGCGCCGCGGAGCCGTGAGAGCGCGATGGAACCATGGATCTATTCGAGTGGAATCTGTACAAACTCTGGAACTGAGTCCGACTCAGGATAATGGTTCCGGTTAGCCTCTGGAACTGAGTCCGACTCAGGATAATGGTTCCGGTTAGCCTCTGGAACTGAGTCCGACTCAGGATAATGGTTCCGGTTAGCCTCTGGAACTGAGTCCGACTCAGGATAATGGTTCCGGTTAGCCTCTGGAACTGAGTCCGACTCAGGATAATGGTTCCGGTTAGCCTCTGGAACTGAGTCCGACTCAGGATAATGGTTCCGGTTAGCCTCTGGAACTGAGTCCGACTCAGGATAATGGTTCCGGTTAGCCTCTGGAACTGAGTCCGACTCAGGATAATGGTTCCGGTTAGCCAAAACATCGATGTTTTTGGTCTTTTCAACAGCATATAGAAAACCACATTTAAATAAGGTATTATTCATATATATCGTTCGAAAGCTAACACTTTTAACTTCCGTTTTATGCTAGTAATGTTCGCGAAATAGTTAAGTTTATGTTTTTATAGCCCGTTGAAGTGGGTAACCGGTGCCTTTTTAAGCCCAAAGTGTCCGACTTAAGAAACAGATACCTAGACCTTTAAAGGAGCAATATGTAATATTTGCATGTCAAGTCATCATTAAATGACCCGAATATTTCAAAAGGCGTTATTAAATCATACTCTTTTCGAATTCATCTTTAACTGATAACAGTAGTTCAGCCGAGATATTTGATCATCAAAATTAGTTTTACGACCCGTAAAAGTTGTTATTGTTTTGATTTTGATGTCCTACCCTCCGCCGTTTCGCCAATCAGGAAGTGTCATGTAAGTCCGTGATTGGGTTGCCAGAACTCCGCGCGGCTCATTAATCTCAGAGGTAAAATAACATGTGGCGTAGAACTAAAAAAGGTCTTGTTATGACTCTCAAATAATTAATGACAAAACAAAGACTAAAACGAGGATTTATATCGGGATGCCTTTGAACAATTGAGACAGCTGATAAAAGTTCACGTGTGATGCAGAATTTTCTAGTTTGAGTCCGTTCTTCACGGTGTCTCTGTTCGTGTGAATCTGTGGCCTAGCGGTCTAAGCTGTGCGCTTACAATGCAGGAACCCGGGTTCGATCCCGGACTATGTCTTTTTGTATTTATTGCATGTTATCACATTCTATGACAGATTGCTCTAAAAACGGTAAAAGATGAAGGTCAAGACGGTTTTTTGCAGATTATAGCTTAATTGTAAAAATAATCATTTAAGACCACATGTACCCCAATTAAAATAATGTTAGTCTCTTTTTGATGTGGGACTTTTACATGTTTGTCTAAAAAATAGGGAATAAATACAATTGAAAGGTGATATCCTCTTGAGCAAACCCTGATGTTGATACGCTGAAGAAATACGTTCCAACATCCATTCTTCCCACTCCTATTTTGGACATCAATTTCTTATTTATTTTGCATAAACTATGTATAATTACATTGCTTTTATTTTGTTTTTGTTTTTTATCTCAAATGTCCAAATAATAATAATAAAAAAACATGAATCAAAACATTCATTCAGCATTAGCACGGCTGTCATGGCAATGTGAATGGAGACGGACAAACAACTGATCAAATAATTCCCTGTGTTTGCTGCTGGATTTGGTGTGAATCTGGCAACCTGAGTCAGGGAGAGTGGGAGAGGACTACACAATATTGACTGTGACTGCAGTACCACTTTTGGCCAGATTTTTACATATTGCTCCTTTAAAGACCAGAATCTCTGAACATCGGAGCAACATCTGTAATCATGACTCCAAAAGCCCAGTGGCAGTTCACTACACAGAACCAAAACACAATGTGAGCACATTAAGGTACACAGGAATCGAACACATCAAACCTTCAAACAGAGAAGGAGACATTCATTCCCAAATATTGAAACGCAAAGCTTTCTGGATATACACACCACACACTTTGAGTCCAAAGGGTCTGAATGAAGACTTTGACCCGAGACCTTTTTTATGATCCATTTGTTTTAGATCTTCTTGTGAGTCCAAAACAGGCGCCTCAACTTCAGGAGAAACCAGGACACACCAGAAGAAACCAGGACAGAGTAGGACCAGAAGAAACCAGGACAGAGTAGGACCAGGAGAAACAAGGACAGAGTAGGACCAGGAGAAACAAGGACAGAGTAGGACCAGGAGAAACCAGGACAGAGTAGGACCAGGAGAAACCAGGACAGAGTAGGACCAGGAGAAACCAGGACAGAGTAGGACCAGGAGAAACCAGGACAGAGTAGGACCAGGAGAAACCAGGACAGAGTAGGACCAGGAGAAACCAGGACAGAGTAGGACCAGGAGAAACCAGGACAGAGTAGGACCAGGAGAAACCAGGACAGAGTAGGACCAGGAGAAACCAGGACAGAGTAGGACCAGGAGAAACCAGGACAGAGTAGGACCAGGAGAAACCAGGACAGAGTAGGACCAGGAGAAACCAGGACAGAGTAGGACCAGGAGAATCCAGGACAGAGTAGGACCAGGAGAAACCAGGACAGAGTAGGACCAGGAGAAACCAGGACAGAGTAGGACCAGGAGAAACCAGGACAGAGTAGGACCAGGAGAAACAAGGACAGAGTAGGACCAGGAGAAACCAGGACAGAGTAGGACCAGGAGAAACCAGGACAGAGTAGGACCAGGAGAAACCAGGACAGAGTAGGACCAGGAGAAACCAGGACAGAGTAGGACCAGGAGAAACCAGGACAGAGTAGGACCAGGAGAAACCAGGACAGAGTAGGACCAGGAGAAACAAGGACAGAGTAGGACCAGGAGAAACAAGGACAGAGTAGGACCAGGAGAAACAAGGACAGAGTAGGACCAGGAGAAACCAGGACAGAGTAGGACCAGGAGAAACCAGGACAGAGTAGGACCAGGAGAAACCAGGACAGAGTAGGACCAGGAGAAACCAGGACAGAGTAGGACCAGGAGAAACCAGGACAGAGTAGGACCAGGAGAAACCAGGACAGAGTAGGACCAGGAGAAACCAGGACAGAGTAGGACCAGGAGAAACCAGGACAGAGTAGGACCAGGAGAAACCAGGACAGAGTAGGACCAGGAGAAACAAGGACAGAGTAGGACCAGGAGAAACCAGGACAGAGTAGGACCAGGAGAAACCAGGACAGAGTAGGACCAGGAGAAACCAGGACAGAGTAGGACCAGGAGAAACCAGGACAGAGTAGGACCAGGAGAAACCAGGACAGAGTAGGACCAGGAGAAACCAGGACAGAGTAGGACCAGGAGAAACAAGGACAGAGTAGGACCAGGAGAAACCAGGACAGAGTAGGACCAGGAGAAACCAGGACAGAGTAGGACCAGGAGAAACAAGGACAGAGTAGGACCAGGAGAAACCAGGACAGAGTAGGACCAGGAGAAACCAGGACAGAGTAGGACCAGGAGAAACAAGGACAGAGTAGGACCAGGAGAAACCAGGACAGAGTAGGACCAGGAGAAACCAGGACAGAGTAGGACCAGGAGAAACAAGGACAGAGTAGGACCAGGAGAAACCAGGACAGAGTAGGACCAGGAGAAACAAGGACAGAGTAGGACAGACCAGAAGAAACCAGGAGAGACCAGGAGAGACCAGGAGAGACCAGGACAGACTCACACCTACCCTCCACTGGGCGACAAAAAGTCTCCATCTTCGTCCTCCGCTAACATGTTTAAAGGCACTGGGTCCGGTTCAATCCTGGGGTCGGGTTCGGTCCCAGGATCAGGTTCAGTCCCGGGGTCGTTCCCTGAGTTCGGGTTCGGTCCCGGGGGAAAAGATGAAAGTAAAAAGGAGCTACGGTGACCAGTTCTTCCTCTTCCTGTTTGCGGGAGCAGCTGACTTTCCACGTGACCTGGTTCTCTGTAGTGACCGCAAGAGGCCGCGAGAGGGCGCCACCACCACACTGCATCGGCCTCATCATTTATGAGACATTTCACCACAATACTTATCCTTTAGATACGGATCCTTCATTATCCTGCACATTGTACTGTATGTGAGGGATTATAGGGCTGTTAGGGTTAGTGGTCTCTATGGTCCAATACCATGTGGTCTCCCTATGGTCCAATACCATGTGGTCTCCCTATGGTCCAATACCATGTGGTCTCCCTATGGTCCAATACCATGTGGTCTCCCTATGGTCCAATACCATGTGGTCTCTCTATGGTCCAATACCATGTGGTCTCTCTATGGTCCAATACCATGTGGTCTCTCTATGGTCCAATACCATGTGGTCTCCCTATGGTCCAATACCATGTGGTCTCCCTATGGTCCAATACCATGTGGTCTCCCTATGGTCCAATACCATGTGGTCTCTCTATGGTCCAATACCATGTGGTCTCTCCCTATGGTCCAATATCATGTGGTCTGTATTGTTTGTCTCTCTGATCTGTGGTGAATTCAATGGTTTTCTGAGAAACTGCTGCGATTTAGGACGATACAAGAATAAAATTGTAATCGTGTAAACGTCAGTTTGTATCGTTAGCATTATTAGCCTGACCCCTAAAACACAGTGAGGCAGTTTTTAAAAGAATTTATTTACGAAAATCTTAAACAAAAACTGAAAACAGCTGCTGGGCAAAACACTCTGACCCTCCTCCTGACCCTTGGAGCGGGGTGGTTGTTTCCCCCCCTCAGAGCAGGGTGGAGGGGGTGGTTGCTGCCCCCCCCCCCCTCAGAGCAAGGTGGTTGTGGCCCCCCCTCAGAGCGGGGTGGGTGGGGGTACGCCCACAGGGTGCAGTCCCAGGTCTAGAGGGGGGGGCTCGTCAGATGGGGGGGGGCTCTTCTTCTGAGATTCCAGTTTTTCTGTGAGCTGAGTGTAGAGCTCCCTCAGAGAGTCACTGCACTGCAACACAAAGACACACAACTTTAACAAACGCACACACACAACTTTAATGTATTATTGGTATTATTATGCATTTGTTTTATATAGCACTTTTTTGGACACTCAAAGTCTTCACATCATTATTCTCTCACACCATACACGGTGGTGATAAACTACTGTAGCCACAGCTGCCCTGGGGCACACTGACAGAAGCGAGGCAACCAGTCTGTGCCATCGGCCCCTCCCACCACCAACCATTCACACACACACCAGACTCATTCTTGGCAATGGGGATAAAGTGTCTTGCCTAAGGACACAATGACAGCAGACATTGGGAATCGATGGTGAAAGTCTTGAGGTAGACTCGAAGACAGACGCAACCGACAGAAAGACAGACAGATAGACAGACACAACCGACAGACAGGCAGAGACAGACAGACACAACCGACCAAGATACAACCGACAGACACAACAGACACAACCGACAGACACAACCGACAGACACAACAGACAGATAGACAGACACAACCGACAGACAGAGACAGACAGACAGGCAGAGACAGACAGATACAACCGACAGACAGATACAACCGACCAAGATACAACCGACAGACACAACAGACACAACCGACAGACACAACCGACAGACACAACAGACACAACCGACAGACACAACAGACAGACACAACAGACAGATAGACAGACACAACCGACAGACAGAGACAGACAGACACAACCGACCAAGATACAACCGACAGACAGACACAACAGACACAACCGACAGACACAACCGACAGACACAACAGACAGACAGACAGACAGACACAACCGACAGACACAACAGACAGACAGACAGACAGACACAACCGACAGACACAACAGACAGACAGACAGACAGACACAACCGACAGACAGGCAGAGACAGACAGATACAACCGACACAACCGACAGACAGACACAACAGACACAACCGACAGACACAACAGACAGACAGACACAACAGACACAACCGACAGACACAACAGACAGACAGACAGACAGATAGACAGACACAACCGACAGACAGACACAACCGACAGACACAACCGACAGAAACAACCGACAGACACAACCGACAGACAGAAACAACCGACAGACAGACAGACAGACACACAGACACGCACACACACAGACAGACGCACACACACACAGACAGACACACGCACACACACACACACAGACAGACACACGCACACACACACACACAGACGCACACACACAGACACACCTGTTTAGGAGGCTCCAGGGTCTTCAGTAGTGTGTCCATGTAAGAAGGCAGGACTTTGTGGTGAAGGTGGAGCAGCATCCGCAGTGTGTGTCTGTGGACGTTCTCTTTACTGCAACAGACCAAAACATCAGGTCAGTGGCTGTGTGTGTGCGTACGTGTGTCTCTGTGTGTGTGTGTGCGTACGTGCGTCTCTGTGTGTGTGCGTACGTGTGTCTCTGTGTGTGTGTGTGCGTACGTGCGTCTCTGTGTGTGTGCGTACGTGTGTCTCTGTACGTGCGTCTCTGTGTGTGTCTGTGTGTGTGTGTCTGTATGTGTGTGTGCGTACGTGTGTCTCTGTGTGTGTGTGTGCGTACGTGCGTCTCTGTGTGTGTGCGTACGTGTGTCTCTGTGTGTGTGTGTGCGTACGTGCGTCTCTGTGTGTGTGCGTACGTGTGTCTCTGTACGTGCGTCTCTGTGTGTGTCTGTATGTGTGTGTGCGTACGTGTGTCTCTGTACGAGCGTCTCTGTGTGTGTCTCTGTGTGTGTGTGTCTGTATGTGTGTGTGCGTACGTGTGTCTCTGTACGTGCGTCTCTGTGTGTGTCTGTGTGTGTGTGTCTGTATGTGTGTGTGCGTACGTGTGTCTCTGTACGTGCGTCTCTGTGTGTGTCTCTGTGTGTGTGTGTCTGTATGTGTGTGTGCGTACGTGTGTCTCTGTACGTGCGTCTCTGTGTGTGTCTCTGTGTGTGTGTGTCTGTATGTGTGTGTGCGTACGTGTGTCTCTGTACGTGCGTCTCTGTGTGTGTCTCTGTGTGTGTGTGTCTGTATGTGTGTGTGCGTACGTGTGTCTCTGTACGTGCGTCTCTGTGTGTGTCTCTGTGTGTGTGTGTCTGTATGTGTGTGTGCGTACGTGTGTCTCTGTGTGGTGCGTCTCTGTGTGTGTCTCTGTGTGTCTGTATGTGTGTGTGCGTACGTGTGTCTCTGTACGTGCGTCTCTGTGTGTGTGCGTGCGTGTGTCTCTGTGTGTGTTTGTCTCTGTGTGTTTGTGTGTGTGTGTGTACGTGTGTGCGTACGTGTAGGCCTGTCGCGATAGTCAATAAATCAATAAATCGCACGATAAATAAAATTTGCTCAATAACTTTTCTGGCCGCGATAAATCCCATTTGCATGCTTGTTTGTTTTCCCCGTCTCTCTCGGGTCAGAGAGCCGCAAAGTGGTCACGGGAACATTAGCGGTCTAGCAAGCAGACGGAAATTACTCAAAAATACAAAATACAGCCAAAACAGGACCTAAACCAGGACTTAACCAGGATTGACAATGGGGGACACAGTAGTTGTGAACATATGCCGGCAGCTGAGTTCTCATTCAGGCTTGATTAGTGACTATACTAGCTCAGCTAGCGTTAGCGTGTTCGCCGATGCAGAAGTACCGTACCATACCAATAAAATAAACTTATGGCGCACCTCCGTGAACACATACTGCTGTTATATAAAGTCTCTAGAAGGTCTCTGAACACAGAGATGCTGCAGACTTGCATTCTTGGAGTAGAACTTTACACAAAAAACCCGCTAGCTTAGCTGTTAGCATCAAAGCCCGCCCCGCTACTTCCGGTGGGCGATACCGCAGCAGGACTTCTGTACGCCCCATTGGTGAACCCACATGTCAGTCACTTGTCATTCGCCTGGTGTGTGGGGAGGTGGGACTACTGGCGTAGCCCACAGAGTGCAGCTGAGGAGCCGCGAGAGAAGTTTACCGGTAGGCACTACGCAGAGAGAAAGCTAGTTGCGAGTGCGGGACAAAACGATGGAATTGGTTTCCAAGCCAAACGCGACAGTTGCAGTGTGGGAGCATTTCGGATTTAAACCGAATGCCCGTGGTGAACCACTGAACATGTGCGAGTCGGTGTGTCGCATTTGTTGGAAAACATTTGCAGTTAAAAGCGGCAACACAACAAACTTGCATATGCATCTAAAACACAATCGGTTTATTGTGTTCTAGCGTTAAATATTCGTTAAAAATAAAAGTTTATTTCTCTTTGAAAAGGTGTACCTGCATTATCATTGTAATCGATGCAAATGATCTCAGAACGACAATATAATCGCTTATCGCAATAATTTCTGAGACAATTAATCGTCCAGCAAAATTTGTTATCGTGACAGGCCTACGTACGTGTGTACAAAGTGAATTAGAACCGAGGACAAAGCACCTGGAAAAAGACGTGAGTAAAAATCCATCGAAGACGACGGAGCAGAAGTCGTCAGATCCAAAGTCATCAGACAGAAGTGTGAGGTGACAGGTCAGAAGGTGCAGGAACAGGTCTCCAAACGCCATGTCATTATAGGTCTCCACTGCAACACACACACACAGACACAAAGACACACACACAGACAGACACACACACAGAAAGACACCCACGGAAAGACACACAGACAGACACACACACAGACAGACACACAGACACAAAGACACACACGGAAAGACACACAGACAGACACAGAGACAAAGACACACACACACACACACACACAGACACACACACAGAAAGACACACACGGAAAGACACACAGACAGACACACAGACAGACACACAGAAAGACACACAGAAAGACACACAGACACAAAGACACACACGGAAAGACACACAGACAGACACAGAGACAAAGACACACACAGAAAGACAGACAGACAGACACACACAGACACACACATACACACACAGACACACATACAGACACACAGACACACAGACACAGCTGTTACAGTTTGACAGAAGAATCTCAGTCTGTTGACTCCGTGTTTTGGATGTTTAAATTAAAGTCCAGTGACTCGGATCACTGTCAATCTGAGTGTGGTATGGTATGGTATAGTATGGAGTGGTATGGTATGGAGTGGTACGGAGTGGTATGGTATGGTACGGAGTGGTATGGTATGGTACGGAGTGGTATGGAGTGGTATGGTATGGTATGGAGTGGTATGGTATGGTACGGAGTGGTATGGTATGGTACGGAGTGGTATGGAGTGGTATGGTATGGTATGGAGTGGTATGGTATGGTATGGAGTGGTATGGTATGGTATGGAGTGGTATGGTATGGAGTGGTATGGTATGGTACGGAGTGGTATGGAGTGGTATGGTATGGTATGGTATGGAGTGGTATGGTATGGTATGGAGTGGTATGGAGTGGTATGGTATGGAGTGGTATGGTATGGTATGGAGTGGTATGGAGTGGTATGGTATGGTATGGAGTGGTATGGAGTGGTACGGAGTGGTATGGTATGGTATGGTATGGAGTGGTACGGAGTGGTATGGTATGGTATGAAGTGGTATGGTATGGTATGGAGTGGTATGGAGTGGTACGGAGTGGTATGGTATGGTATGGAGTGGTATGGAGTGGTACGAAGTGGTATGGTATGGTATGGAGTGGTACGGAGTGGTATGGTATGGTACGGAGTGGTATGGAGTGGTATGGTATGGTATGGAGTGGTATGGTATGGTATGGTATGGAGTGGTATGGTATGGTACGGAGTGGTATGGAGTGGTATGGTATGGTATGGAGTGGTATGGTATGGTATGGAGTGGTATGGAGTGGTATGGTATGGTATGGAGTGGTATGGTATGGTATGGAGTGGTATGGAGTGGTATGGTATGGTATGGAGTGGTATGGTATGGTATGGAGTGGTATGGAGTGGTATGGTATGGTATGGAGTGGTATGGTATGGTATGGAGTGGTATGGTATGGAGTGGTATGGAGTGGTACGGAGTGGTATGGTATGGTATGGTATGGAGTGGTACGGAGTGGTATGGTATGGTATGAAGTGGTATGGTATGGTATGGAGTGGTATGGAGTGGTACGGAGTGGTATGGTATGGTATGGAGTGGTATGGAGTGGTACGAAGTGGTATGGTATGGTACGGAGTGGTATGGTATGGTATGGTACGGAGTGGTATGGTATGGTATGGTACGGAGTGGTATGGTATGGTACGGAGTGGTATGGTATGGTATGGTATGGAGTGGTACGGAGTGGTATGGTATGGTATGGTACGGAGTGGTATGGTATGGTATGGTATGGTACGGAGTGGTATGGTACGGAGTGGTATGGTACGGAGTGGTATGGTATGGAGTGGTACGGAGTGGTATGGTATGGTACGGAGTGGTATGGTATGGTACGGAGTGGTATGGTATGGTATGGTATGGAGTGGTACGGAGTGGTATGGTATGGTATGGTATGGTACGGAGTGGTATGGTACGGAGTGGTATGGTACGGAGTGGTATGGTATGGAGTGGTACGGAGTGGTATGGTATGGTACGGAGTGGTATGGTATGGTATGGAGTGGTATGGTATGGTATGGAGTGGTACGGAGTGGTATGGTATGGTACGGAGTGGTATGGTATGGTACGGAGTGGTATGGTATGGTACGGAGTGGTATGGTATGGTACGGAGTGGTATGGTATGGTACGGAGTGGTATGGTATGGTATGGTATGGAGTGGTACGGAGTGGTATGGTACGGAGTGGTACGGAGTGGTATGGTATGGTACGGAGTGGTATGGTATGGTACGGAGTGGTATGGTATGGTATGGTATGGAGTGGTACGGAGTGGTATGGTATGGTATGGTATGGTACGGAGTGGTATGGTACGGAGTGGTATGGTACGGAGTGGTATGGTATGGAGTGGTACGGAGTGGTATGGTATGGTACGGAGTGGTATGGTATGGTATGGAGTGGTATGGTATGGTATGGTATGGAGTGGTACGGAGTGGTATGGTATGGAGTGGTACGGAGTGGTATGGTATGGTACGGAGTGGTATGGTATGGTATGGTATGGAGTGGTACGGAGTGGTATGGTATGGTATGGTATGGTACGGAGTGGTATGGTACGGAGTGGTATGGTACGGAGTGGTATGGTATGGAGTGGTACGGAGTGGTATGGTATGGTACGGAGTGGTATGGTATGGTATGGAGTGGTATGGTATGGTATGGAGTGGTACGGAGTGGTATGGTATGGTACGGAGTGGTATGGTATGGTACGGAGTGGTATGGTATGGTACGGAGTGGTATGGTATGGTACGGAGTGGTATGGTATGGTACGGAGTGGTATGGTATGGTACGGAGTGGTATGGTATGGTACGGAGTGGTATGGTATGGTACGGAGTGGTATGGTATGGTATGGTATGGAGTGGTATGGTATGGTATGGAGTGGTATGGAGTGGTATGGTATGGTATGGAGTGGTATGGTATGGTATGGAGTGGTATGGAGTGGTATGGTATGGTATGGAGTGGTATGGTATGGTATGGAGTGGTATGGAGTGGTATGGTATGGTATGGAGTGGTATGGAGTGGTACGGAGTGGTATGGTATGGTATGGTATGGAGTGGTACGGAGTGGTATGGTATGGTATGAAGTGGTATGGTATGGTATGGAGTGGTATGGAGTGGTACGGAGTGGTATGGTATGGTATGGAGTGGTATGGAGTGGTACGAAGTGGTATGGTATGGTATGGAGTGGTACGGAGTGGTATGGTATGGTATGGTACGGAGTGGTATGGTATGGTACGGAGTGGTATGGTATGGTATGGTATGGAGTGGTACGGAGTGGTATGGTATGGTATGGTATGGTACGGAGTGGTATGGTACGGAGTGGTATGGTATCAATCAATCAATCAATCAATCTTTATTTATAGGGCGCTTTTCCTGCACAGGGCAACACAAAGCGCCTCACAGTCCACACCACACAATGCACAAATCATCACCATTAAAATACAATTAAAAACACATATGTAATTAAAAAGCATTAAAATCACATAAGTAATTTAAAAACATAAAAATCACACAAGTAATTAAAAACAATAAAATAGTTAAAAACACAAAAAGTTACAACAATAAATAACAAGGTGTGTTAAAAAGATAAAATTCTCTAGTTGTATGCACGGGAAAAAAGAAAAGTCTTTAACATGGATTTGAACATTGACAGAGAGGCAGCCAGTCTCACATCCTCAGGAAGACCGTTCCAGACTCCAGCTGCATAAATCTGAAAAGCAGCCTCCCCCTGTCTAGTCCTGACTCTGGGCACTAACAGGAGTCCCGTCCCTGCGCTCCTCAGAGTCCGGGCTGGTTCATATGAGACTAGCATATCATGGATGTACTTTGGTGCAAGGCCATGGAGAGACTTGTACACCAGGAGAGCTGCTTTAAAGTCTATCCTCTGGGCCACGGGAAGCCAGTGCAGAGACCTGAGGACCGGACTAATGTGGTCGTACTTCCTGGTTCTAGTCAGGACTCGGGCTGCAGCATTTTGAATATACTGCAACTGTCTTACTGCATGTTTGGAGATACCTGTGAGCAGGCCATTGCAGTAATCCAGCCTACTGGAAACAAAAGAATGGATAAGAATCTCCAAGTCTGCCCTGGACACAATATTTTTAATTTTGGCAATATTTTTCAGATGATAAAAAGCTGCTGATGTTACCGATCCAATGTGGCTATTGAAGTTTAAGTCAGAGTCCATTATTACTCCCAGATTTCTGACCTTATTTAAGGGCCTTAGGGAGAGAGACTGAAGGTGACAAATGACGGTCTCTCTTTGTTTCTCGGGACCAAAGACAATCATTTCGGTTTTGTCCGCATTTAGCTGGAGAAAATTGCATTGCATCCACTCACTGATCCGCTGGATACAGCGAAGGAGTGAGTCCACCGGCCCATGCTCTCCTGCAGTCAGTGAGACATAGATCTGAGTGTCATCAGCGTAATTGTGGTAGGACACTTTCATACTTTGAATTAACTGACCTAATGGCAGCATGTAAATATTGAACAGGAGAGGTCCCAGAATCGACCCCTGTGGCACTCCGCAGGTCAGGGCCATATTATCTGAGACATAGTTTCCAATCTCCACACAGTACTTCCTTTCTTCTAGATAGGACCTAAACCAGCTTAGGGCGGTACCAGCAACACCAACCCAGTCCTCCAGTCTCTGCATGAGAATCTCATGGTCAACGGTGTCGAAAGCGGCACTCAGATCTAACATGACTAAAACAGAGACTTTTCCTGCATCAGTGTTAAGCCGAATATCATTTGTTACCTTGACTAGAGCGGTCTCAGTACTGTGGTGTGGTCTAAAGCCAGACTGAAACATGTCAAATGAGTCATTAGATATTAAAAATTCAGTAAGTTGTTGGTAGGCAACTTTTTCAAGAATTTTTCCCATGAAAGGCAGATTTGAGATGGGACGGTAATTTTCAAGTACCGCAGCATCCAAACTGCTCTTTTTTAGGAGGGGCCTAATGACTGCCTTTTTCAGGGCCATTGGAAATGTTCCAGATAAAAAAGACATGTTTACTATTTGTGTCAATGAGGGTAATAGACTACACATAACAGACTTCAGAAATCTAGGAGGTAGTACATCCAGACTGCAGGTAGAGGAACTAAGACCTGTGATTATCTTTTTAACAGTTTCATCATTGACAGGTGCAAATTGAGCTAGCTCACAAAGCCTCACTGGATGTTGCATTGTTACTTGTGTTGTAGAGGTGATGGCATTTCTGATACCCTGAACCTTGTCTCTGAAGAACTGTGCAAACTCATTACACCTGGATTTGGAGTAGTGTTCTAATGGCAACTCAACAGGGGGGTTCGTTAATCTATTGATTGTTGAAAATAGAACACGCAGATTGTTGCTGCAGCCTTCAATAGTTTCAGAAAAGTATAATTCTCTTGTTCTACGTAGTACTCTGTTAAACTCACACAACTTCTCTTTTAAGAGTCTATAATCACCCTGGAGGTTGGACTTTCTCCACTTTCTCTCTGCTCTCCGGCACTCTTGCTTCTGTGCCCTGACCGGGCCTGCTTTTATCCATGGGGCTTTTTGCTTATTTGTGACCATTTTTACCTTCACAGGGGCAATGGCGTCCAGAACATTCAACACACTAGAGGTGACAGAGTTAAGCAGTTCATCTACAGTAGAACATGATGTGTTCTCAAAATGGATCATTCCCATAAATAGTTCACCCGTGTTTTCATTTAAGTGTCTACTTCTAACAATTTCATATTTAGCGGGTGGTCTGGTAGCAAAACACATGTTAAAAAATACACAGAAATGATCCGACAGAGCAACATCAACTACATTAACTTTTGAAATATTCACCCCTTTCGTGATAAGCAGGTCCAGGGTGTGTCCTCTGCTATGGGTGGGGCCACTCACATGCTGAGTGAGGCCAAAGGATTCAAGTATGGAACTCAGCTCTTTTGCGTATCTGTCATTAACATTATCCACATGAATATTAAAATCGCCTATAATGACTAAACCATCAAAATCTGTGCACACAACTGAAAGCAACTCAGTGAAATGATCAGTGAAACTATGGCATGACTGTGGCGGCTTGTACACAACAATAATAAGAATGGAAGAAGATTTCTTTTGTTCTATTTTAAAAGAAACATACTCAAATGATGAAAATTTCCCAAGAGACACCCTATGGGAGACAATACGATCTTTAAAAACTGCTGCTATGCCCCCCCCCCTTTTATTTTCTCGTGTTTCATGTTCAAATTTGAAATTTGGTGGTGAGGCTTCTATTAAAACTGCATCTCCTGTATTATGGTCAAGCCATGTTTCAGTCATAAACATAAAATCAAGATCATACGAACAGATAAAATTATTAATTAAAAATGATTTGTTGCATAGTGATCTGACATTAAGTAGAGCAAGGTTAAAATTAATATCAGTGTCAATGGGTTTAGTTGATTGATTACAAAGAACGAATTAGATTTCCTGAGTTGGACCGTCTAACTGCTGTCCTTCTTTTAAATTTGTGTTTATTCAAGTTAAAACACATTTCTGAGCTGGTGCGAGGAACACACACAGTCTCTATTGGTTTAAAAAGTGAACTCTGTTGTACTTTGTTAAGTTCCAGATGCATAACTGAGTCAGCACAGTTCAGTGGCAGGACTGTCGTTACACTGCCAGACGGACAGGGGTCAGTGTTTGCACCACAGTACTCACCCGGTGCTGGTAAGGAGGAGGAGGAGGGGGGTAGTGGGGGCCGAGAAGCCTCGGATGTAAACAGTCACGCCCCCCTCTGGGAGCACTGAACAACATGGCGCAGGAAGTCCGTCAACAAACTGGTGCCGTATCTGTTCGGGTGCAGACCATCTGGACGATAGGCCACGTGACGCTTCCAGAACAGGCCAAAGTTGTTCACAAAAATAAAGTTAAAAGTGCTGCATGTAGACTGGAGCCACATGTTGAGCGCCACAACGCGACTGTAGAGGCAGTCACCCCGGTTTACAGTCGGGACTGGACCAGAGATAAAAACACACAACCCGGAGGACTGGAGGAGGCGGAACAGATTCATAAAGTGCTTCTTTGTGACCCTCTGACTGCTGCAGCTTCATATCATTTATACCCACATGCACGATTACCTTGGATATGGTATCGGCAGGGACTGAAGCAGAGGAGGGAGACAGATGAGCAGGTCTGGGACTGTAGCTCCGGTAATGCAGTGAGTGACCGCGTTAAAAAAGCGGACGTGCCTCACGATGGAATCTCCAACGATCAAAGTAGTTGGGGGCGAAAAGTGGACGCGGCCGCGGAGAAGGCGCTCGGTGTCCATGGCCAGAACCAGCGGGCTCATCCAGGGATGGGTCCGAACCAGGGCGCTGCTGAACACATGGAGAGGAGTGGGGGTGTTGATTCCCAGCTCCGGGCAACCCACGCTGTGTGCACGGAGACGCTGGAGCAGCGAGAGGAGCAGGCTCGGGTCGCTGCTGCTGACCCGGTGAAGGTAAGTGGTGGTGATGCACTGGGGTCAGAGAAGGGGAATGACCACTCTTTCGTCTGAGGACAGCTTCCTTTAAGAGTGTCTTTCTCGCAGTGGACCTGGATCCACGGACAGCAGTAGAGTACGCTGCAGAGTCCAGGGGTTCTGCTGAGGGGGCTGGGATGTCAGCGGAGAGGGCTGCATAGCGGTTTGAAAGGCTCAGGACATGGGCCACGGCGCTGGATGGCTCCTCGCAGTCCGCAGGCTCTTTATTCCGAACCGGGCACTTAGGTGTAGAACAGGAGGGTCCAGAGCTGACAGACCTCTCCCACACGACAGTGTCACAGTATGCAGCGCTCAGTGACATAAGCCGTGAGTGCTGCCCGCCAGCAACATCAAAAAGTTTGGACACGAGTGACTGTTTATCCTGCAGCTCTGCAGTGAGGCGAAGGACTTCTTTACGGAGGTCTGCAATAGTGGCACGGTCCCTCTCACGAAGCTCCAATGTGAGGCGACTAATGTCGTTCGTGGTCATTGCAGTGTCACTTTCCATGTCTGTGTGCGCTCGGTGGTAGCCTCCAATAAGGGTCATTAACAGCAGTTACTTGAAACGGAATATTTTTTCGAATCAATATTTCTACACCACGAGCATGCGAGGTAAATGGCGACTGATATATCTGAGATATCCAATTACACTTCAATCTATGCTGCATGGCTGTTTTTATATGCATCTCTTGCAAAAAGATTATATCAGCAGAAAGAGATTTCAGATGTTTAAAAACTTTACCCCTTTTGACTGCACTACCAAGCCCTTTTACGTTCCATGATATCAGTTGTAACTCTTTTCCTCCCACATCCATTTTACCATGTACTTGAGTCATCTTGAAAAATATAGAAAAAATACAATATCTGTTGCAATACCAAATACAAACAACAAGTAACACATGTGAGCCAAACAAGAACAACACAGACCCACCCCTCCCTCACCTCTATGGCGTCAAAATAGGGTCTGCTTAAACGTAACCATAAAGCAGGAATTGTAATCGTAGGTTGTAAGTATTGTAAACATTAAAAATATATTGTAAATGAAAAAATTTAAAACTTACATTTACGGTTCTGATTTTTCATGTTTCGCTTCAAAAGTTACGTTTACGATTCACAAGCTACGCTTACGGGTCAAAACTTACGGTTACGATACATTTTTCATCTGACCCCTTTTTGGAGGGGCGGGCTCAGCGCGCCCATTGGCTGGAGACACCGGATGTTACGTCATCACAAAAGCAAAACACACACCATTCAAAATTCAAGTCTCGTTCGAACTCTCTACAGCGTATGATTGATCACATTTTTAAACTGGGCTGGCTATTGTAGGCTTTGATGTGGTATGTGCACTCTTGTGGACACTCTAATTACACCAGGTCATGTTTAGATCGTGTGAAATATGCTCTCGTAAGAACGTCATATGCCTATGTTACACCAAGGCTAGCCAGCTAAGCTACATCTCGGGACCTTCATCACCACTGTACGTTGTTCACACTGAATGCTTTGTCATGTCAGGATTATCTACTGCTATCAAAGGTGAATAAAACTATGTCTTTGATTTTTTTGTTTGCTTATTATTTACATAATTATAGCGGCTTACCTAATGAGCCCATGCTAGCTAGCAATGAATCTGTCAGTCCATAACCTGTACATAAAGTTTTGAAACAAATGAGGTAACTAGCTGAATGATTAAACAAATCTGTGAAACTTGCTAAATAGTACGTTTCATTGGCTTCATGATATCTTATCAAAATTAACTTAATGTTAAGTAGCTCAAATCGGGGCTAACCTGTTAAGGCCATTAATTTTATGATATTTGGCTACTGTACCTGTACTGTGTTTGCTAATTTAGGATGGCTAACATCCCTAAAATCACACAGAAACTCTGTATAGTTCTGATCTTGCAGGTTATCTCTGCGATGGGCACCAGCACCACACATTGCAGACCAGCAAGATGTGGTTTTATAATAATCTATATAAATGTGATGTATTTTCATGTCTTAGGGACCATGTCTGCAAATTAAGTGCTAGCTATACAGCCTATGAACATGGCATCGGCCACCTGTATCAATACTTTTAGTTCTGTGCCTATCAAATAAACATAATAGCACTATTCTCACAGAACAGTGGGTTGTAGATAGGAGTAAATGGCCGTCTGTTACCTGGCCTAATATCTATAACTTCCTCATCCAGACATACAGTGTTTATACCTGACTGACCTCCTCCAGATCTCCACACCTGCCCGCTCCCTCCGCTCCTCCTCTCTCCAGCTCTTGGTCCCTCCTGCCTCCTCCTCCTCCTCCTCTCCAGCTCTTGGTCCCTCCTGCCTCCTCCTCCCCTCTCCAGCTCTTGGTCCCTCCTGCCTCCGCCTATCCTCTCCAGCTCTTGGTCCCTCCTGCCTCCTCCTATCCTCTCCAGCTCTTGGTCCCTCCTGCCTCCTCCTCCTCTCTCCAGCTCTTGGTCCCTCCTGCCTCCTCCTCCTCTCTCCAGCTCTTGGTCCCTCCTGCCTCCTCCTCCTCCTCCTGTCCAGCTCTTGGTCCCTCCTGCCTCCTCCTCCTCTCTCCAGCTCTTGGTCCCTCCTGCCTCCTCCTCCCCTCTCCAGCTCTTGGTCCCTCCTGCCTCCTCCTATCCTCTCCAGCTCTTGGTCCCTCCTGCCTCCTCCTATCCTCTCCAGCTCTTGGTCCCTCCTGCCTCCTCCTCCTCCTCTCCAGCTCTTGGTCCCTCCTGCCTCCTCCTCCTCTCTCCAGCTCTTGGTCCCTCCTGCCTCCTCCTCCCCTCTCCAGCTCTTGGTCCCTCCTGCCTCCTCCTCCTCTCTCCAGCTCTTGGTCCCTCCTGCCTCCTCCTCCCCTCTCCAGCTCTTGGTCCCTCCTGCCTCCTCCTCCTCTCTCCAGCTCTTGGTCCCTCCTGCCTCCTCCTCCTCTCTCCAGCTCTTGGTCCCTCCTGCCTCCTCCTCCTCCTCTCTCCAGCTCTTGGTCCCTCCTGCCTCCTCCTCCTCTCTCCAGCTCTTGGTCCCTCCTGCCTCCTCCTCCTCTCTCCAGCTCTTGGTCCCTCCTGCCTCCTCCTCCCCTCTCCAGCTCTTGGTCCCTCCTGCCTCCTCCTCCTCCTCCTGTCCAGCTCTTGGTCCCTCCTGCCTCCTCCTCCTCTCTCCAGCTCTTGGTCCCTCCTGCCTCCTCCTCCCCTCTCCAGCTCTTGGTCCCTCCTGCCTCCTCCTCCTCCTCCTGTCCAGCTCTTGGTCCTCCTGCCTCCTCTCCTCCTCCTCTCCAGCTCTTGGTCCCTCCTGCCTCCTCCTATCCTCTCCAGCTCTTGGTCCCTCCTGCCTCCTCCTATCCTCTCCAGCTCTTGGTCCCTCCTGCCTCCTCCTCCCCTCTCCAGCTCTTGGTCCCTCCTGCCTCCTCCTCCTCCTCCTCCAGCTCTTGGTCCCTCCTGCCTCCTCCTCCTCCTCTCCAGCTCTTGGTCCCTCCTGCCTCCTCCTCCCCTCTCCAGCTCTTGGTCCCTCCTGCCTCCTCCTCCCCTCTCCAGCTCTTGGTCCCTCCTGCCTCCTCCTATCCTCTCCAGCTCTTGGTCCCTCCTGCCTCCTCCTCCCCTCTCCAGCTCTTGGTCCCTCCTGCCTCCTCCTCCTCTCTCTCCAGCTCTTGGTCCCTCCTGCCTCCTCCTATCCTCTCCAGCTCTCCCTTGGTCCCTCCTGCCTCCTGCTCCCTCCCCTCTCCAGCTCTTGGTCCCTCCTGCCTCCTCCTCCCCTCTCCAGCTCTTGGTCCCTCCTGCCTCCTCCTCCCCTCTCCAGCTCTTGGTCCCTCCTGCCTCCTCCTCCTCCTCTCCAGCTCTTGGTCCCTCCTGCCTCCTCCTCCCTCTCCAGCTCTTGGTCCCTCCTGCCTCCTCCTCCTCTCCAGCTCTTGGTCCCTCCTGCCTCCTCCTCCCTCTCCAGCTCTTGGTCCCTCCTGCCTCCTCCTCCCCTCTCCAGCTCTTGGTCCCTCCTGCCTCTCCTCCTCCTCCTCCAGCTCTTGGTCCCTCCGCCTCCTCCTCCTCTCCAGCTCTTGGTCCCTCCTGCCTCCTCCTCCCCTCTCCAGCTCTTGGTCCCTCCTGCCTCCTCCTCCCCTCTCCAGCTCTTGGTCCCTCCTGCCTCCTCCTATCCTCTCCAGCTCTTGGTCCCTCCTGCCTCCTCCTCCCTCTCCAGCTCTTGGTCCCTCCTGCCTCCTCCTCCCCTCTCCAGCTCTTGGTCCCTCCTGCCTCCTCCTCCCCTCTCCAGCTCTTGGTCCCTCCTGCCTCCTCCTCCCCTCTCCAGCTCTTGGTCCCTCCTCCCCTCTCCAGCTCTTGGTCCCTCCTGCCCGCCTTGTCACCATGTGGAATAGAGCCTCTCCAAATCCACCCTCAAAACTCATCTGTTTAGACAAGCCCACTCACTAACATCATAACCACACTCTCCTCTCTCCATGATGCTTTTAACTGTTTTTAAAATACACTTTTTTTACTTGGTTGTAAGGCAACCGTGAGTGTCAAGAAAAAAATATATTAAAAGAAAACCCAAAAGCATATAAATCTATAAATACATACAATTATGTGTTATGTGGACATGTGAAGAATGTGAAATACTTCCAGTCTGGGACTGAGTTCTATGTTGCTCCCAGCCAGAGAGTGGGCATTAAGTCAAAGCCTTATGATGCCTGGGTGTACGTCCACAAAGACTCGGTGCACATCCTTACTCTGAACTGTTCCTGTATGGCAGGGTATGGACATGTAACTTGCTTTTAATGTTCAATTACAGTCTTAACCTGGTGCACACCCATTGACCCCTTTATTGGTGTAATCTGCGTTATGTTTTATGTTCTGCGCTGTCTGAAGAAGGAGCAGGACACAAGGAGGACCACAGGATGACATTTACTAGTAGCTCTGCACAAAATAAAACACAAATCCACTTCGTCTATCCATGCTTTCAGCTCAGCAGACCCCTCCTCAGATGCAAGGCACAGTTCTCCTGATAAAGGGAAAAAGCCACATTAATAAGTAGTTACTACATTTTGAGTGGTATACAGGTTGAAAACTTTTGTTCTCCAGTTGTCTTTGTATTATTGGTAAAAAGACAAGTTTGTGATTTTTGCTCTAAAATATTGGTGTGCTCTTCATCCACTCACAGTATCAGTATTGTTGTGACTAGAAGGCTACACAGGCTCACTTATGAACAACTGTTTAGTTATTTGAAGACTGTTTCTCCTCAGACTAAAACGAAGGAGCCTCCCATGCTACTTATTTAGCAAAACAGCTAATGTTAGCATTATAGCAACGTCAGCTGTTTGTTATAGCGGCGCTATAAGTGAGCTGGCCTGAAGCCTGTTCTTCGTCTTCTGTAGTAACCAGACTGTAAAGATTGTAGCAACGTGCGTGTGTTTTGCTTTTGTGACATCCGGTGTCTCCAGCCAATGGACGCGCTGAGCCCGCCCCTCCAAAAAGGGGTCAGATGAAAAATGTATCGTAACCGTAACTTTTGACCCGTAAGCGTAGCTTGTGAATTGTAAACGTAACTTTTGAAGCGAAACATGAAAAATCAGAACTGTAAATGTAAGTTTTAAATTTTTTCATTTACAATATATTTTTAATGTTTACAATACTTACAACCTACGATTACAATTCCTGCTTTACGGTTACGCTACAGTTTTTTCGTTTACAATATTTTTTTATGTTTACAATACTTACAACCTACGTTTACAATTCCTGCTTTACGGTTACGTTTAAGCAGACCCTATTTTGACGCCATACACCTCCGCGTCCCCTGAACCTGACGCGTATCTTCCCCTCCTTGCCATAACGGGAGCTGCTGGACAAATAGTAGGCTCAACCCGAACAGCGCCCCCCACCACAACTTGAGTATTAGTTAGAAAATTGAAAGCTACGTTACATCTCGGAAAAACAAAATGAAATGCGGCTGTTGGAAAATTGTCCTGCGTTTCAACACATTTATTGTCATGGGCCTGAAGAATCTATTAACACGCAGTTTAAAAAAAAAAGAAAATTCAACAGTGTGCCGCATTTCACATAGAACGACAAAATGCTCACTTTGAAAGAACAAAAAAAGTAAAAAAGGTCATCTCCTTTTAACCATCTGTCGAAGCGTCACGTTAGGGTTAGGGTTAGGGTTCGTGCGTAAACGAGCCGCCTCAGCTGCCGCTGGATCTTTAAAGACCTTTGGGGTACCCTCCTCTCCATCCCAGTAAACATGAAGCCTGGCCGGGTAGCGTAAGTGATGCTTAACTCCTCCATCTCTCAGGGCTTTCATCACGTCTCGGAATGCACGGCGCTGGCTCATCACTTTGTTAGTATAATCCGGGAAGATCAAAACTTTGTTACCTTTATACACCATTGGCTGCGTCCTACTCAGGCGTAGAATCAGCTCCTTCACCTGAAAATGATGAATGCGAGCCATGATGGTGCGTGGCTTGTCACCCGCCGCTGGTTTAGGTTGCAGTGAGCGATGCGCACGGTCGACTTTTAATGGAGAGGGAAAGTTTCGTTTGGAAACAAAGTCAGTCGGGTTTCTTTTTTCTGAGTCTTCCTTTATACCGACAATCTTGATGTTATGTCTGCGAGACCGTGCTTCTAAATCCAGTAGTTTGGTTTGGAGCTGGCTGGCGTACCTCGATAAATCTTCATACTTGGCTTCGAGCACTTCCACACGCTCGTCAAGTGCGCTGGTAGCTTGCTCCTGACTGACCATGCGGTTCTGCAGGTCAGCTTGTATGGAGGACACAGACTGTAACTTGGTGTCGAAGGCATCAAAGCGCTCGTCGAGTCTCTCCAAAATCTTCTGACATTTCCTTACACATTTCTTTGCACATTTTGTACATGTGGGACTTGTCATGTGAAGTGGCGGAAGGAGGCTTAGCAGAGGGCTCGCTAGCATTAGCCCCACTAGCATTGGCATTGCTGACGAATCCATCGAGGGTCTTGGGCTTTCCAGGAGGGTTTCTTTGCGGCGACATTTTCAAATTGGCGAAGATCAACAGAAGAGATGGGCGAGTGATCAATAAAATACCAGGTCTTGAACAATTTTCTAGTGATTTTAGATGATTAGCACGAGTTGTGGTGGAGAGCACAAGCTAGACACGTCTATATCCCACGCATGCGCACTGGCGCTCCCCCAATCTGTAAACACTTTTAACACCAGGGGGGAACAACCTACTGTCCACAATAGGCATAACTGGAGATAAGTTGCTCTTATTTCCCAAATAAGCAGTCATATCCTTCCAGGGTTTCAGATAATTTATCAAGAAGATTCAGCATCTCTGGCTGAATCTTCTTGGCCAGCATTTCCCCCAGAAGATTGTATGGTGTAGACATCCAGGATTCCAAAGGGTCTGTGAGTCCATTCAGATAAGACTGAAACCATTCCCGGATGACCCTGCCTTGACAAGCCCAGTTGTACAAAAGAATGTTAGGAAAACCCTCCTCTGTCTCTTGGACACTGTAAAACACTCATCCTTAATCTAGATTTCTTATCCTTCCAAATAAATTCACTCAAGTCTCTCTCAATCTCTTTAGCTTTTGTTTTAGACAAATAAACAGGTAAGATAAGATAAGATATGCTTTATTTATCTCACAAGGAGAAATTTACATGTCACGTTTGGCATGGATAGAACACTCAGATTGTGCAAAAGGAGGAAATGTGCAAACATGTTACATGCAGGATATATATGTACTATAAAAGTGGCAATTTAAAGTGACAATCAGATACAGTGCCTTGCGAAAGTATTCGGCCCCCTTGAACCTTTCAACATTTTGCCACATTTCAGGCTTCAAACATAAAGATATAAAAAAATATTTTTTTTGTCAAGAATCAACTACAAGTGGGACACAATCGTGAAGTGGAACGAAATTTATTGGATAATTTAAACTTTTTTAACAAATAAAAAACTGAAAAGTGGGGCGTGCAATATTATTCGGCCCCCTTGTGCTAATACTTTGTAGCGCCACCTTTTGCTGCAATTACAGCTGCAAGTCGCTTGGGGTATGTCTCTATCAGTTTTGCACATCGAGAGACTGGGATTCTTTCCCATTCTTCCTTGCAAAACAGCTGGAGCTCAGTGAGGTTGGATGGAGAGCGTTTGTGAACAGCAGTCTTCAGCTCTTTCCACAGATTCTGGATTGGATTCAGGTCTGGACTTTGACTTGGCCATTCTAACACCTGGATACGTCTATTTGTGAACCATTCCATTGTAGATTTGGCTTTATGTTTTGGATCATTGTCCTGTTGGAAGATAAATCTCCGTCCCAGTCTCAGGTCTTTTGCAGACTCCAACAGGTTTTCTTCCAGAATGGTCCTGTATTTGGCTCCATCCATCTTCCCATCAATTTTAGCCATCTTCCCTGTCCCTGCTGAAGAAAAGCAGGCCCAAAGCATGATGCTGCCACCACCATGTTTGACAGTGGGGATGGTGTGTTCAGGGTGATGAGCTGTGTTGCTTTTACGACAAACATATCGTTTTGCGTTGTGGCCAAAAAGTTCGATTTTGGTTTCATCTGACCAGAGCACCTTCTTCCACATGTTTGGTGTGTCTCCCAGGTGGCTTGTGGCAAACTTTAACCCTATAAACCCGTCTGCATCGGCGACGATGCATGCGCACATGTTTTACAAATGATCAATTTACTTGCGAACGGTAAAACGTAGCAACTTACTTTTTTTTCCTCTGAAGTACATATTCAGGGCTTTCCGAAACTAGTTTTGATTTGTCTGTGCGATTCACGGAGGATAAACTACGCTTGTCTGAAAGTCCGTGTCCAAAGCGTGACCCGTGAGGTACAAACAGCTGTGAGATACAAACACACGGGGACTGCCAAAGATCGTCAGAGAGTGAGATGTATTATATAAATAATTGTTTTGTTTAAGTTTTGTTTTGTGTCTAAGTTTCTTATGTTTTACGTTTTTTACAGCTATGCTACAGAAGCAACCCCAGCATTATAGACAAACTGCTTCAAGAAGGGCATCAGGAGTACAGAGTTTTTTGCTTTTATAGTGGAATTTTGTAAAAAGTATAATAGTTAGAGATTCATTTTTTTCCCCATTATCCCCATGACCCTAAATAACATTTCTATGCAGTGTAAAAAGTTGTTTATAGCATTTCATTGTGTTTTTTCAATACATTTTTGTTAAATTGATTTTCCGTTTGATTTTCTTCTTTGTCTTCATGATTCCATAATTTTCATATAGTTCATATGACAGCTTTACAATATGAATATTCTAAAACCCCAGGTTGTACTGAAAAAAACAAAGTATACTGCTTGACTCTGCATCAAAAGATGACTGTTTTATGAACAATTATACACAAAGAAAACCAGGCGAGGAAAGTTCCCCAAAATGACCGATGTGCATAGAGGGTTAAACAAGACTTTTTATGGATATCTTTGAGAAATGGCTTTCTTCTTGCCACTCTTCCATAAAGGCCAGATTTGTGCAGTGCACGACTGATTGTTGTCCTATGGACAGACTCTCCCACCTCAGCTGTAGTTATCTGCAGTTCATCCAGAGTGATCATGGGCCTCTTTGCTGCATCTCTGATCAGTCTTCTCCTTGTTTGAGATGAAAGTTTGGAGGGACGGCCGGGTCTTGGTAGATTTGCAGTGGTCTGATACTCCTTCCATTTCAATATAATTGCTTGCACAGTGCTCCTTGAGATGTTTAAAGCTTGGGAAATCTTTTTGTATCCAAATCCGGCTTTAAACTTCTCCACAACAGTATCTCAGACCTGCCTGGTGTGTTCCTTTGTCTTCATGGTTCTCTCTGTGCTTTAAACAGAACCCTGAGACTATCAAAGAGCAGGTGCATTTATACAGAGACTTGATTACACACAGGTGCATTCTATTTATCATCATCAGTCATTTAGGACAACATTGGACATCATTCAAAGATCCTCACTGAACTTCTGGAGTGAGTTTGCTGCACTGAAAGTAAAGGGGCCCAATAATATTGCACGCCCCACTTTTCAGTTTTTATTTGTTAAAAAAGTTTAAATCATCCAATACATTTTGTTCCACTTCACGATTGTGTCCCACTTGTTGTTGATTCATGACAAAAAATTAAATTTTTATATCTTTATGTTTGAAGCCTGAAATGTGGCGAAATGTTGAAAGGTTCAAGGGGGCCGAATACTTTTGCAAGGCACTATATGATTCAGACACAGACATGCATGATACAGACACAGACATGCATGATACAGACACAGACATGCATGATACAGACACAGGCATGCATGATACAGACATGTATGATACAGACAGACATGTATGATACAGACAGACATGTATGATACAGACAGACATGTATGATACAGACAGACATGTATGATACAGACAGACATGTATGATACAGACACACATGTATGATACAGACACACATGTATGATACAGACAGACATGTATGATACAGACACACATGTATGATACAGACACACATGTATGATACAGACACACATGTATGATACAGACACACATGGATGATACAGACACACATGTATGATACATGGGACACAGATGGAGAGGAAGAGTGAAAAACAATGTATTTTGAAGTGACATATAAAATTTTTGACAGTCAATGAGTTAATAATGTACAAGTCCGACCTTTTATTACCCTAATGTACGAGTCAGACCTGTTATTACTCGAATGTACGAGTCACAGACCTGTTGTTACTCGAATGTACGAGTCAGACCTGTTATTACTCGAATGTACGAGTCAGACCTGTTATCACTCGAATGTACGAGTCAGACCTGTTATTACTCGAATGTACGAGTCAGACCTGTTATTACTCGAATGTACGAGTCACAGACCTGTTATTACTCGAATGTACGAGTCACAGACCTGTTGTTACTCGAATGTACGAGTCACAGACCTGTTGTTACTCGAATGTACGAGTCACAGACCTGTTGTTACTCGAATGTACGAGTCACAGACCTGTTATTACTCGAATGTACGAGTCACAGACCTGTTGTTACTCGAATGTACGAGTCACAGACCTGTTGTTACTCGAATGTACGAGTCACAGACCTGTTGTTACTCGAATGTACGAGTCACAGACCTGTTGTTACTCGAATGTACGAGTCACAGACCTGTTGTTACTCGAATGTACGAGTCACAGACCTGTTGTTACTCGAATGTACGAGTCACAGACCTGTTGTTACTCGAATGTACGAGTCACAGACCTGTTGTTACTCGAATGTACGAGTCACAGACCTGTTGTTACTCGAATGTCTGAGTCACAGACCTGTTGTTACTCGAATGTACGAGTCACAGACCTGTTGTTACTCGAATGTCTGAGTCACAGACCTGTTGTTACTCGAATGTACGAGTCCATCCATCCATTTTCTTCCGCTTCATCCGTTGCCGGGTCGCGGGGGCAGCAGTCTAAGCAGAGACGCCCAGACGGCCCTATCCACACACACCTCCTCCAGCTCGTCCGGGGGGACCCCAAGGCGTTCCCAGGCCAGCTGAGAGACATAGTCTCTCCAGCGTGTCCTGGGTCTTCCCCTGGGCCTCCTCCCGGTGGGACGTGCCCGGAACACCTCCCCAGGAAGGCGTCCAGGAGGCATCCTGAACAGATGCCCGAGCCACCTCAACTGGTTCCTCTCGACGTGGAGAAGCAGCGGCTCTACTCCGAGCTCCTCCCGTGTGACTGAGCTCCTCACCCTATCTCTAAGGGAGCGCCCAGCCACTCTGCGGAGGAAGCTCATTTCGACCGCTTGTATCCGCGATCTCGTTCTTTCGGTCATTACCCAAAGCTCATGACCATAGGTGAGGGAGGGAACGAAGATTGACCGGTAAATTGAGAGCTTTGCCTTTCGGCTCAGCTCCCTCTTTGCCACAACGGTCCGATACAGAGACCGCATCACTGCGCACGCTGCACCGATCCGCCTGTCAATCTCACGCTCCATCCTCCCCTCACTCGTGAACAAGACCCCGAGATACTTGAACTCCTTCACTTGAGGAAGGACCTCTCCACCCACCTGCAGAGGGCAAGGCACCTTTTTCCGGTCGAGCACCATGGCCTCAGATTTGGAGGTGCTGATTCTCATCCCAGCCGCTTCACACTCGGCTGCAAACCGTCCCAGTGCATGTTGCAGGTCCTGGTTTGTTGGAGCCAACAGGACAACATTGTCCGCAAAAAGTAGAGATGAAATCCTGTGGTTCCCGAACCGGACCCCCTCCGGCCCCTGGCTGCGCCTAGAGATTCTGTCCATAAATACAGTGAACAGAACCGGTGACAAAGGGCAGCCTTGGCGGAGGCCAACATGCACCGGGAACAGGTCTGACTTACTGCCGGCAATGCGAACACAGCTCTGGCTCCGGTCATACAGGGACCAAACAGCCCTCAGCAGAGGACCCCGGACCCCGTACTCCCGGAGGACCCCCCAAAGGACACCCCGGGGAACACGGTCGAACGCCTTCTCCAAATCCACAAAGCACATGTGGACAGGTTGGGCGAACTCCCATGAACCCTCGAGTATCCGATGGAGAGTATAGACCTGTTATTACTCGAATGTACGAGTCACAGACCTGTTATTACTCGAATGTACGAGTCAGACTTGTTGTTACTCGAATGTACGAGTCAGACCTGTTATTACTCGAATGTACGAGTCACAGACCTGTTGTTACTTGAATGTACGAGTCAGACTTGTTGTTACTCAAATGTACGAGTCAGACCTGTTATTACTCGAATGTACGAGTCAGACTTGTTGTTACTCGAATGTACGAGTCACAGACCTGTTATTACTCGAATGTACGAGTCAGACTTGTTGTTACTCGAATGTACGAGTCAGACCTGTTATTACTCGAATGTACGAGTCAGACTTGTTGTTACTCGAATGTACGAGTCAGACCTGTTATTACTCGAATGTACGAGTCAGACTTGTTGTTACTCGAATGTACGAGTCAGACCTGTTATTACTCGAATGTACGAGTCAGACTTGTTGTTACTCGAATGTACGAGTCAGACCTGTTATTACTCGAATGTACGAGTCACAGACCTGTTATTACTCGAATGTACGAGTCAGACTTGTTGTTACTCGAATGTACGAGTCAGACCTGTTATTACTCGAATGTACGAGTCAGACCTGTTATTACTCGAATGTACGAGTCACAGACCTGTTATTACTCGAATGTACGAGTCAGACTTGTTGTTACTCGAATGTACGAGTCACAGACCTGTTGTTACTCGAATGTACGAGTCAGACCTGTTATTACTCGAATGTACGAGTCACAGACCTGTTATTACTCGAATGTACGAGTCAGACTTGTTACTCGAATGTACGAGTCAGACCTGTTGTTACTCGAATGTACGAGTCAGACCTGTTATTACTCGAATGTACGAGTCACAGACCTGTTGTTACTCGAATGTACGAGTCACAGACCTGTTGTTACTCGAATGTACGAGTCAGACCTGTTGTTACTCGAATGTACGAGTCACAGACCTGTTGTTACTCGAATGTACGAGTCACAGACCTGTTGTTACTCGAATGTACGAGTCACAGACCTGTTGTTACTCGAATGTACGAGTCACAGACCTGTTGTTACTCGAATGTACGAGTCACAGACCTGTTGTTACTCGAATGTACGAGTCACAGACCTGTTGTTACTCGAATGTACGAGTCACAGACCTGTTGTTACTCGAATGTACGAGTCACAGACCTGTTGTTACTCGAATGTACGAGTCACAGACCTGTTGTTACTCGAATGTACGAGTCACAGACCTGTTGTTACTCGAATGTACGAGTCACAGACCTGTTGTTACTCGAATGTACGAGTCACAGACCTGTTGTTACTCGAATGTACGAGTCACAGACCTGTTGTTACTCGAATGTACGAGTCACAGACCTGTTGTTACTCGAATGTACGAGTCACAGACCTGTTGTTACTCGAATGTACGAGTCACAGACCTGTTGTTACTCGAATGTACGAGTCACAGACCTGTTGTTACTCGAATGTACGAGTCACAGACCTGTTGTTACTCGAATGTACGAGTCACAGACCTGTTGTTACTCGAATGTACGAGTCACAGACCTGTTGTTACTCTAATGTACGAGTCACAGACCTGTTGTTACTCTAATGTACGAGTCACAGACCTGTTGTTACTCTAATGTACGAGTCACAGACCTGTTGTTACTCAAATGTACTGATTGGTCCCCTCTCTGATAGCTGATTGGTCTTCTCTCTGCAGGTGGTCCTGAAGCTGACCCAGATGATTGGGAAGAACGTGAAGCTGTATGACATGGTTCTTCAGTTCCTCCGGACGCTTTTCCTCAGAACTCGTAATGTTCACTACTGCACGCTCCGAGCAGAACTGCTCATGTCTCTGCACGACCTCGACATCAGCGAGATCTGCTCTGTGGACCCCTGCCACAAGGTGACACCTGACCTCTGACCTTGCCACAAGGTGACCCCTGACCCTGCCACAAGGTGACACCTGATCTCTGACCCTGCCACAAAGTGACCCCTGACCTCTGACCCTGCCACAAAGTGACCCCCTGACCCTGCCACAAGGTGACTCCTGACCCTGCCACAAGGTGACACCTGATCTCTGACCCTGCCACAAAGTGACCCCTGACCCTGCTCTGTGGACCCCTTCCACAGTTCACCTGGTGTCTCACCCTCTCTCTCCCCCACAGTTCACCTGGTGTCTCACCCTCTGTTCCACAGTTCACCTGGTGTCTCACCCTCTGTTCCACAGTTCACCTGGTGTCTCACCCTCTGTTCCACAGTTCACCTGGTGTCTCACCCTCTGTTCCACAGTTCACCTGGTGTCTCAACCTCTCTCTCCCCCACAGTTCACCTGGTGTCTCACCCTCTGTTCCACAGTTCACCTGGTGTCTCACCCTCTGTTCCACAGTTCACCTGGTGTCTCACCCTCTGTACCACAGTTCACCTGGTGTCTCAACCTTTCTCTCCCCCACAGTTCACCTGGTGTCTCACCCTCTGTTCCACAGTTCACCTGGTGTCTCACCCTCTGTACCACAGTTCACCTGGTGTCTCAAACTCTCTCTCCCCCACAGTTCACCTGGTGTCTCACCCTCTCTCCCCCACAGTTCACCTGGTGTCTCACCCTCTGTACCACAGTTCACCTGGTGTCTCACCCTCTGTACCACAGTTCACCTGGTGTCTCACCCTCTGTACCACAGTTCACCTGGTGTCTCACCCTCTGTACCACAGTTCACCTGGTGTCTCAACCTCTCTCTCCCCCACAGTTCACCTGGTGTCTCAACCTCTCTCTCCCCCACAGTTCACCTGGTGTCTCACCCTCTGTTCCACAGTTCACCTGGTGTCTCACCCTCTGTACCACAGTTCACCTGGTGTCTCACCCTCTGTACCACAGTTCACCTGGTGTCTCACCCTCTCTCCCCCACAGTTCACCTGGTGTCTCACCCTCTTTCTCCCCCACAGTTCACCTGGTGTCTCGCCCTCTCTCTCCCCCACAGTTCACCTGGTGTCTCACCCTCTCTCTCCCCCACAGTTCACCTGGTGTCTCACCTTCTCTCCCACAGTTAATCTGGTGTGTCACCCTCTCACTGCCCCACAGTTCACCTGGTGTCTCACCCTCTCTCCCCCACAGTTCACCTGGTGTCTCACCCTCTCTCTCCCCCACAGTTCACCTGGTGTCTCACCCTCTCTCCCCCACAGTTCACCTGGTGTCTCGCCCTCTCTCTCCCCCACAGTTCACCTGGTGTCTCACCCTCTCTCTCCCCCACAGTTCACCTGGTGTCTCACCCTCTCTCCCACAGTTAATCTGGTGTGTCACCCTCTCACTGCCCCACAGTTCACCTGGTGTCTCACCCTCTCTCCCACAGTTAATCTGGTGTCTCACCCTCTCTCCCCCACAGTTCACCTGGTGTCTCACACTCTCCCCCACAGTTCACCTGGTGTCTCACCCTCTCTCTCCCCCACAGTTCACCTGGTGTCTCGACGCTTGTATCAGGGAGAAGTTTGTTGATGGTAAAAGATCTCGAGAACTACAGGGTTTTCTGGACGGAGTGAAGAAGGGACAGGAACAGGTCCTGGGGTGAGGAGTGCGTGTGTGTGTCTGTGTTAGGGCTTTGACTTTGAATTTCAATATTTGTATATAATTTGAATATTAAAAATACTATATATATATATATATATATATATATATATATATATATATATATATATATATATATTTATTAGTATTATATATATATAATTCAAATGAATATTATACAGCCCTTAATATTTGAAGCTGTACTGGGCATCTTTTTAAAAGGATATATATAAAATAGTTTCCAAAGGTTTTGCCGCGAAGTGGCTAATCTGCTATTTTTCATCTGTAGTCCCATGAAAAGTGAACACAGAGAACATCAGCGGTGAGTGAGCCAAATATAAACTGAACCTAAATCCATCAGATCCAAATGTTCCTAAAATGTTCTGCTAATGTTAATAGTTACTTCTGGGTTTACCACGGTCGCTTTTTGACTCATGAAAACAGTATCTTTGTCATGAAAACAGATAATCCTGAAAACCTCCGTGTGTTAAGAATGTATATGTCTAAGGTTTTCTCCCATTAACATTTATATTGTTATTTATATTTGTGGTGTTGCTTGCTTGCAATTGACGTCAAGTCCGCCTCATTACATATGCGTATCACGGTGGTCAGCCGAGCTAGTTGTTCAATAGAGCAGCGTGTCTGAATATGCTTTTTGCACGTGTTGTTTTAAGTTTTCCTACCGATCGAATCGTGAAACCCCTAATGGATACTTTAGGATTCTCCATGAAGAGATGAATAAAGGACTCGCACTAAGGACTTTACGAAAAGACGCAGGAGAAGTGGCTCGCTAACATTTCATTAGCAAACGCTTTTACCTCTAAGGATTATTTATTTACCCAGCCATGCAGTCACAATGTGCAGTTATTGCATCCACATGTTTATTTAATGAACTTTCAGGTATGAGTCGGCGTTTTAGATAAACACTGTGAATGTTTGACCTGAAAAGAACACAGCCACAGACGCATTGTTTTGTTGAGAATAACAAGTTCATTCACCAATCGTTACTTACACGGCTCTTTACGATACAGGATTTGTCCTTCAGGACCTTAACTCTGAGTTCTTAAACCCACAGACAGACGGAAAAGTTGCAGCATCCGTGTTTATCCAAACCTTCAGTTTAGCAGTGCAAAAGCTTGATTGTAAGACTAGCTGTGGATTAGAATCTAAAGTGAAGAAAATGACAGTCTAGGATCGTGTCTTTAATTCAGACAGAAGACATGTTTTATTGTCGATGGTAGAGGCATAAACAAAGACGTTACAGAATGTAAGTTACATACAGCGGAGGAATGGAGACTTATTAGAATTATTAGCATATTAGCATTTGCCGCGGTGCCAGTAGCTTTAACCTTGATATTACCAAAACAACTTAGTGAACTTTAGTGTTTTGTATGAACAAACATTGTGAATAAGCTGCTCTGTAGGTTCTGTTGATTTATGATATATATGTTCATCTGACAGGGCTGAAGTCAGTGCCTCCAAACCGCACGTCACTGGTCGACAAGTGGATTGCGCAGACATTTAGAATCTCAGCATAGTGAAATTCCTGAAGAAAGCCAATCAACAAAACGTCAAACGCTAAATGGCCACTTTAGCAAAGCTAGCAAGTTGCTTGGTGAAACACTAGCGGAGATGGCAGCTTTTGATGGATTTACGTTTAATAGTATACATATTTGAGTGATATCATACATTACTTGGGCTAAAAACAACAACTACGTCTTTTCCCGGGATTAAATACATCTCATTTTCGGGGAAAATATGAAACCTTAAAACAGTGCGTTGCCAAAGGGCAGCGGTTATTAAGAAATAATTATATGACTTGGATCGTACGCGCGCTCTGATTGGTTGATTTGAGATCTGATATTTTCCCATCTCGGACCGTTACCATGACAATTGGTCCGCAGCGCGTATCAGATTTGATATCCTTCCTCGGTAAAGAAAGAATGAGCGACGAGTTCGAAGAGCCAGAGGAAGTAAAAACAGCAAATAACGACGAAAACCCAACTCCTAACAGTCAAGAGATTGACAACTTCGTTACAGACCAGAAAGGTAAAAAGACAATTAGGAAAACCAAGTTGGAGATCGATATTTGCATAAATTAAAAATAGTCATGTAATAAAACATTTATTAAGTAGTAAGTAATCTTTATATACCGCCTTTCACAGACCTGAGTCACAAAGCGGTTTACAATTGTTATTTTTTGGGCATTAGTCTCTCACTCCACACAGAGATGGGATTTTTAAAGTGCGCTAAGCAAGATGGCGCCGTGCCAGGGCGCCGCTGCAAGAGCTCCGTGGTGCACCGTGATTGTTTTTATCCTTTCACTGTTTTTATCCACACTTGCCACTGTGGCATATGATCGACAGACTCTTATGGACATACGGGACTTGGCCTGTGAGTCAGTGTCGCCTGCTCTGAGGTGTGAGGGCTTCGACGAGTGCCCAACTCGAGGAGAGCGGCGTGCGGACCGCGACAGAGACGGGGAACAGGGCGATGAGGCCGGGCGCCTCCCCCGTGTTCACCACCGTGCGGAGCCGGGTGTCTCTCGCCGACGGAGGAAGCGCAGACACCGGGGAAAGCGTGGCGGGCTTCTCGTGCGGAGTTGCACTCCCAGGGTCCCACTGCCACCTATCTACCTTGCAAACGTTCAGTCTCTCCCGAACAAGTCGGATGATCTCCTGAGCCGAATCCAGTACCAGCGCGAGGCTCGGGACTGCGCAGTGTACTGCCTCAGCGAGACGTGGCTGCATCCGAATATCCCGGACTCAGCTGTTCAGCCGCCGGGATTCGCCATTTTCCGCTCGGACAGAGAGAAGGAGAGCACGGGGAAATCGAAAGGTGGAGGTGTGTGTTTTTTAATTAACCAGCGCTGGTGCACTGACAGTTTTATTATAAACAAAACATGCTCTGCTAACCTGGAGTGTCTGGTTTTGAGATGCCGCCCGTTCTATCTTCCTCGAGAATTCTCAGTGATTTTCTTATGTGCTGTATATATTCATCCTCGGGCTGACTGTACAGCTGCACTGAATGACTTAAGTGACATTTTGCATAAACATGAAGCTGCTCACCCCAATGCTGTGATTATAGTTGGTGGTGATTTTAATAAATGTAACTTAAAGTCTGTATTACCGAACTTTTATCAGCATGTGAGTCAGCCTACCAGGGGAGCTCACATCCTGGATCACTGCTATAGTAACGTGAAGGGAGCTTACAGGTCCAGTCTCAGACCTGCTTTTGGGAAGTCTGATCACTCCGCTGTTCTCCTTCTTCCTTCTTATACACAGAGGAACAAAAAGCACAAACCTACTTCCCGCACTGCGCAGTGCTGGTCTGAGGAGGCTAACATGAAGCTGCAGGGCTGCTTTGATGCCACAGACTGGTCTGTTTTTAACTCTGAGAATGTTGATGAATTCTGTGAGGCTGTGACAGGATACATACAATTTTGCATTGACTGTTGTGTCCCCTATAAAGTTATCAAAGAACACTCCAGCCAAAAACCTTGGATGAACACTGACGTCAAATTAAGAATTAATGAGCGGTCACTGGCGTTTCAATCCGGTGACGAGGGTGCTTACAAGCTGTCCTGCTACGCTGTGGAACGCTCTATAAAAGCTGCTAAGCGTTCCTATGGGGACAGGTTAGAGGGCTTCTTTGGGGAAGAGGACCCTCGACGCATGTGGAAGGGGATCAGTCTCATCACGTCCTGGAAACCAAGTGCAGGGAAAATTGCTGCTGGCCAAACTCTGCCAAACGAGCTCAACGACTTTTACTGCCGCTTTGAATCTGCTGATCCCCTGCCTTTTGTCTTCCCCGAATGTCAGGGTGCCTTCACAGTGACTCACGAGGAAGTACGGCGGGTCTTGTCCAGGACCACAGCTCGGAAAGCCGCAGGCCCGGACTGCATTCCACCTCGTGTCCTGAAACTGTGCTCCGAGCAACTTGCCCCTGTTTTAACGGACATCTTTAACTTGTCACTCAGGAGCTGTACGGTGCCGGTGAGCTTTAAAAGGTCCACCATTATTCCAGTTCCTAAGAAGTCTCCAGTGACATGTCTCAATGACTATCGTCCTGTGGCCCTCACGTCTGTTCTTATGAAGACTTTTGAGCGGCTTGTGCTGGACTTCATTAAGAGCCAGATCCCTGTGAGTGTTGACCCGCTCCAGTTTGCTACAGACAGAACAGGAGTGTGGAGGATGCCATCTCCTTTGCTCTGAACTCTGTCTACAGTCACTTGGACACTAGTAAATCTGTCGCGAGAATGCTGTTCATTGATTATAGCTCTGCTTTTAATTGTCTTGTCCCAAGCATATTGGTTGGAAAACTAATGTCCCTTGGTCTGAATGTTGCCATGTGTAAATGGATTTTTAGCTTTTTAACTGACAGATCTCAGAGTGTAAAAATCAATGACTGTCTTTCTGATGTTGTTTCTGTGAGCACTGGTTCTCCTCAGGGATGTATTTTGAGTCCTCTGCTTTTTACTTTGTACACTCACGATTGTGTGTCCTCCTCTGACTCAAATTTGATCATCAAATATGCTGATGACACCACCATCATCGGTCTCATCAGTGACACTGATGAATCCTCTTATAGAGCAGAGATCGAACATGTTTTTCAGTGGAGTAAAGTAAACAATCTCCAGCTGAACACTGCAAAAACATGTGAACTTGTCTTTGACTTCAGTCGTAGCAGTTCTCACACTCCTGTAGTTATTGATAACTCCCAGGTGCAGATCGTAGAGGAGCAAGTTCCTGGGTTTAACTCTATCTAACGACCTGAAATGGGTTAAAAACACTGACCGGGTCGTTAAGAAAGCTCGTCAGCGGCTCTTCTTTTTGCGGAAACTTAGAGAATTTACCACTAACTCTAAGATTCTGCTTAATTTTTATCGCTGCACCATTGAGAGTTTACTTGTTGGTTCTGTGTCTGTGTGGTTTGGAAACATCACAGATAAAGAAAAGAGAGCTTTAAACAAGGTGCTCCGCTCTGCAAAGAGGACCGTG